CTGTATAATAAGAATAATATATTATATTTAAGATATTTATATTCATATTTAGATTTCAATTCATCACACATATATTTAATAGTTTTTCGACATAAATTTGTGTCGGGTTAAAAACTGAGCTGGTGCCATTTAAGTTATTAAAAATAGTCGTTTTGTTAGCAGAAGAAAAGGAGCATTTATTCAATGTAATAGTGCTGACACTAAATGTAAAAAATATAGTAATTATATATATTGTGAGCAGAATAAGGAAATGGGAGCATAGAAACCGTTATTTCGTTTAACTATGCAAGCTATCCTATAGACCGCAGGTCAACCTTAATGCAAAGTTAATAGGTTAAAAATGCAATATATTCAAATAATAGCAAGATATTAATTATTATTTATTACTTTACGGTCATAAAAATGGATTAAGTGCTAAGAAGTGAGCTTGACGCATAAAAATATTTGAGAAAAATTGAGCGAATTAGAAACTTGGCTGAACTGTAGCTTGACTATTTATGACCATATTAAGAGTAATAATATCAATAATAGTCATATATAGGAATGGTATTCATTAGTTTGCGAGTATATTGGTAATAGGAAGATGAGATCCCGATTTGGGGCATCTCAAGTGTTCTAATAAACTGCAGCAGTGATTCGATGCAGCATACCAATTTAAGGCTGACTATTCAGGCATATATTTAATATAATAACAATAACAATAATATTAATAATATGATATATATTATTAAGTATTTTGCAGTTATATGAATTAATGGAAAATTAAGTATTCGGCTTGTGTTATTTTAATTGTTGACAAAAACTTGGTACCAGACACCAAAGCTTGACCATAATTTCGAGTTTACCAATCACTTACGTATTTTATAATTTAAAAATCATAATAGATTGTATATACTTTAATACTATTTAGTCATATGATTTCATGCTCAATAAAAATGGAGCGAATTATCCGACTTGATTGAATATGTACTATAATCCGACCTTGAAGTTGCCCAGCTGTGTGCGTATTAATTGCGATACAATTAATACAAATTATATATGGGAATTTTATTCGATATTTTGCAATTATTTAATGTACTATGTAGATGTAATGTGCAAATTTTTCAATTCATTAGGCTCTTCGTTTATCCAGCTTCAAAGTTAGGCAAGAATAGATGAATTTAGAAGGATCTCCCAGAGCGAAATAGCATTTCGAGCCATAAGAAAAGGAAAACTATCCCTTTTGCTCGGCTCCTCACCCGAACTCTCCATGACTTGTCCCGAGTTCCGGTCGGTCAGGCGTACCACGTATATGCCGGCTTGGTCTGGCCTCACGGCCTGTATGCTCATTTTGGCCGTCTGCGCGTCCACCGTCATCTCGCCCTCTCCAGGCGCCAACTGGACGCGTTGTCGTGTCGACATGTTGGCCAGCGGTCGGAACAGCCACGCGACCATCGGCAGCTCGTCGGGCGTCGACGTCAGTCCGTCTGGTTGTCCTGGCAACTGGTCAAATCGTGTCTGCAGACTGACGGGATCGCCGGCGAAACAGGTCACGTCGCTGAGATGACGCACGATGCGTCCGGTCGTCTGTGAAAAGGAGACGATCTCTTGACTGGAACTGCTGACGTCTGGAAGAGGCGCCAGCGGTGCCGACTTCGGACTGGCCTTCTGCGGCGCCAAGCCCTCTTGACTGGGCGGTTTCCCCGGAAACTCGGCGGCCTGTACGACGTTCGGTTCGCCTCGTAGCGCAGTCAAACTGCCCCCGAAGGCTCGTTTCGGCGAAGACGGCGGAGCCTGTTGCGGTGGCGGTGGTGGCGGCGGCGGTGGTGGCGGTGGTAGTGGTGTTGGTGATGGTGGTTGTGGTTGTTGTTGTGGTGGAGACTCCGACGAGGCCAGTACCAGAATGGACGGTTGCTGGGCTCGTTTGATCGGTGTGATCTGCGGCGACTGTCGCGATGGCAACAAGTCGGTGAGATCACCTCGACCCTGTGCTCCTCCGGCGCGCAAATTGGCCGCCAACATTTCCGCTTCGTCGACAGCCTCACGGACGCGATTGAGGTCGTCGTGAAGTCGGTCGTAGAGCCAGTCGATTTGGGCATGATGCTGCGGCGCGACGGTGGCCAGTTTCTCGACGGACGGATGGAGCCGATCGGGCTCCACGACATCGGCAATCTCGCCCTCGAGGCCACGCAACTGGGCCTGAAGCCGAGAAATGGGAGTTGGCAAGTCGAGCAGAAGCGGTTGGAGAAAGGAAGAGTGCACTAATTCGCCAAAATATTTGCCTCGCCAATAAACAAGCCAAGAGAAGAAGTATAGTCATTTAGGAAATGGTTATTCAACATCTACAGATATCCTACTTTACTGGAATTTAAGTAGTGCTTTCTAAAATAATGAAAAAACACATGTTTGCATTCACCCAATTTCATTGAAAGTGACGAAAGAGAGGCCATTGAATTTTCCCATAAGCATATGAGCCTCATACAAGCCTCAGATTTCCAGGACGCCGGCACTAGTCTCATCTCCATCCCCAGTGGGACTCGAACCTGAGTTGCTGTAGAGCAACGTTCAACCTCGACACGTTGGCACTTGAGTCACAGGACGAAATGCTATTTCAAGGAGGGACAGGTCATTTCTTTATACCACCTTATATGATGAGTTTCTTGATGAAGAAATTGTACATTTAATGTAGCAATTGACTAGATTATTTATCGCTAGTTGATAAGGAGATAGTAGAGATTACCGGTAGATTTTAAATAAGAGCTGTATCAAACCGTATATGAAACCTAATTGTTGTGCTTACTTCCATTTCGAGTGGAAGTGTTGGGTGAAGAGATTCAAAGGTCGGTTCCACCGTTGGCTTGAATTTTTTTGTGACGATTTTACCTCGCTCTGATGATGTCCGTCATATGACAGACGAAAGGTCAGCACGTGTTCACCGGAATCGAAGGAGATTGCCTTGAAAACAGCGTCAGCATGAATCTTCCAGTAAAGCCAATCGACAGCTGGCTAATGCCAAGTAAGGTGAATACGAATAAGCACTACTTACTTTCCATTTTTGTAGAATTTTTTGCATTCAAAGAATACTCTTTGAGTACATTAATAAAATATATATACAATATATCAAATGAGTTAATAAATTATCATAGTGTCTCGAGGAGTTATTTACCAAAATCTACAGCCACAGCTTGAATAAAATCTACATCTAGCCATCAGTAAGGCCTACTTACGATTTTATTCCATTTGCCTCTTTAAAAGAAGTGACAGGTAATCCAACCTGAATCTATTAAGGGATTTTTTGGAATATAGTTTTATGCATAACTATGTAGTCTATGGGTAATTATTATTCCTCGGCTTAATAGTTTATAAAAGAACTAAGTTAAATATATATCAAAAACCTGAATACCTGAAAATTAAACTTTTGTTTTCGTAAAATATAAGGAAATTTAATCCGTTAGACAGCTAGGAAATTAAATTCTTAATATCAAACAAAATTTTGCCGTAAAAGAAGATTTTTGTTACTCATTATATTAAGAACATAGATTTGATATATATGTGTATTTCTACAAGTATTTTTAGAACTGTAAAGGTGTATCCAAATGCTTTCTTGACTAAGTTTAGGGATTTTGTTATCCTCACTAAATTAATTACAATAGCGCATGAGCTATTATTTCAGACTGCCATTCATAGATCGGTTAGCTACTAAGTATATATATGAAACGTTTTTTTTCAAAAATCTCTTAAAAACTGTTAGGTTAACATCATTTTTCATATAAAACTTTTATTTTCTGACGTTATATAAATTAATTCATTGACAGTCAAGCACATACCTCTTAGCATTAAGCACAAACGTATATCCCAATTTTTGATATTTTGAACGTAGTAGGATAGTATTTTTAATAAAAAACTGGTAAATCCAAAATCGAGGGTTAAATAAATGAACTTAGAATAAGGATATCTTGCCAGACTAGAGCATCTTAATAAATACTTCTGAACTGGAACTTGTATTCAATCTAATTGGTTGGTTTCTGAGCCAATCAATCCATTAGTCATACACCACCTCAACGAAACAAGAGTAATATAAATGGCTCATATATAAGATCTGCTAATATTTTCAAGAACCTACAAGAAACTATTTGTAAAAGAGGCCCAAACTTCCTTGAAATTCACATATCGTGGCACTTGTGGCAGTGCCTATAGTGCTAACGTGTGGTATTTACACGCTGTACCACCATAAACCAGATTCGAGTCCCGCAGAAAATGCTGATAAGAGGCAAGGTCAAACCTTTTGCTCATTCTGAAGGATAATAACTTTTAAGAAGCAAAAAGGGCAAAATTTAATGGAAGGAGGAGGCCTATTTATCTGGTTGCGTGAACCATACACTAGATCTTATCTAAGATCCACTGGCAATTTCAAAGCCAAAATAAAGCTCGGATTAAGCAGCTTCAATAGACACAATACAAAGCCCCCTAGAAGCTATAGGAGGTCAGAAAAAACAGGACCAGAATTGAGTAAGCTTGAGTCGCTTCAATTGAGTTTTCCCGCTTCATCAAATAAGTAGGCCATTAAATTTTACTGCAGTTTTAACTCTCAAAAAGAATCGAGCAAATAAGTGCTTTTTTATTGCAATCGACGACACTACTTATTCTCAAAGTAAGTAACTCTTGAGAATATCAGCAATTCTTGATGAAAAACTTAGTCACCCTATATATCCTTTTGTGCGACAAAGCCCTTGTTCAGGTTACTCATCGAATTGTGGCAAAACTCAATCGGCAGTCTTCAAATCGCGCTAAGCGACATAGGATGATAAAGTTTTTATCTCAAAATTAACCACTTTTGCAGAGAACACAGCTCTGGGTACCTTTACAAGATATCACTTTTTTCTACCAAGTTGTGAAAACGAGGTCATACCAACTCAAGCCAAGTTAAGGGGACTGCGACTAAACTCAAAGTCACACAATCTTGTTTTTTATGCCTACGAAGAAAATGGTGCATTTTTTCACGATCAGAACGTTCAAGAATTCAAAGGAGCAATTTTTGATCAAAGGGTTCCTTTAAAGAAGAGGCAGTGAAGACCTGCTGCTAGTGTTAACAGACCATTCTGTCAGAGCTAGTTGCTACGTGCATAAGGTACATGCAGACCCTCTATTATTAGCTGAAATTTGGACTAATTTGGCCAAGATATTAATGAATAAGTGCTGTAGAGCTCAGTCTAAGATTGCGATTTGACTCATAAGGGAAGAGTAACTTATTTTCAGTTTCGAAATGGCTTTCATTTCTAGTAAGAAATTGCGAAGAAAAGATTCCTAGGTCGATCCTATCGAAAAACTTGTAAATGCTGGGTTATTTTTCTCAACTTTTTTTCACAAGAATTCATTCTCATTCTGAAAATTAAAAGTTATGCATATTTCCACTTTAACTAAAAGAAGGAGTTTTGAGAACCCGAACGTCTCATTAAGAACGAAACACAGCAGATCGCCGCCATCTTCTGAGCCAAATGACCTGCGGATTTCTTTTTTACATCCTTTTACTCGAAATGAAAGTCAACTCAACAGTGAAAACAAGTTACTCTCCATTTTCACGTCATACCGCCACACAAGACGGAGTTTTACAATGCTTAGAATTCAGTTAAAGTCAGCTTGGTACATCAGCAAAGTAGGGACGAGGAGGACTTGTTAGTAAGTTTCGATGTGATGTCACTTTAGACCAATATTACTTTTCAGGGATCTATCCAAACAAGTGCACACATGTTAGAATAAAATACCGATATTTTTTAGTCAGTGAATTCAAGTTAAGTTTCTATCCTAAGACTACTTAATCTATCCAAGAGTAGTACATATTAAATTTTAACGAATGGCTTTATGATCGCGTGATATGACTTGCAATAAGCGCTTGGTTGGTTCATATTTTTGCCAATAACTTGGTGCGAAGAGGTGAAATATTCATTAAAAATGTTATTGAGACATATGCAGCATGATTTTATTTGCTCTTAATTAACCAAAGAATAGTATTCTTAAATTAGAATATAAATACAAAAGGAAAATAGTTTACCACTCTCGGATGTTTTGGTTATCAGAACGAAAAAAAAGGCTTGACAACGAAGCATCTAAAATGCCAACCATAGTTACAAT